TTCCACAATTATTCTGGCAACAAAAGGTCTAGTTAGATTGAAGGTGGGTGGATCTAGTTTCATAGGATTTCCAAGTATGACTCTAATAAAGTGGAGAATTGATGGCTAAATAGATGCAACTTAAGACCAGATAAACTAAACCATATTGGCACAGTGGGAGGCTCGTGATTTGGGTCATAATCAGGAGAATACTTGAGCAACTTCATTGAATTTCCTGCAATGTTAAGAAATTTCTTAGAGAAAATCCGAGTGTAATCTTCAGCCAAGGTTCTAGCAAACGTGTCAAATCCTCGAAAGTATCCGAGAGTCCCAAGGTCTTTGATCTAAAATTCTAGTAAAAGCATCTTTTTTGTTAAAAATTTCCTTTAAATTATTACATGACATGATAATATCATCTATATACACTACGAGAACAAAAATTTTGACTCTAGGATTGGATTTAATAAATAATGTATAATCAGCTTGATACTGATGATATCCATTTCTAATCACCGTTTTAGCAAACGTGTCAAACCAAGTATGAAAAGATTGCTTTAAGCCATATGAGGACTTCATCAACTTGCAAATCAACATGTTATTCACTCATTATTCCAAACCCAAATTGATAGCCATGTAGATTTTCTATTCGTACACTCAGTCACGTCATTCTACTGTGGTGTTCTTGAAATAATGAACTCGTATTCGATCTCTTATGATGCACAATAATTCTTAAACTTTTGATCATGATACTCGCAACCGTTATATGATCTACGATATTTCAGCTTCAAGTCTGGCTCATTCTTTATTATAGTCTTTCACTTCTTAAACACCTCATATAAATCAAATTTATGCTTTAAAAAGTAAACAAATACATTTTAGTTGTGATCATCTATGAAAGTGATAAAATAGTAGAAACGTCCAATAGGCTAAACTAAGATATGACCACATACTTTAATATACACTAACTTCAGCTTCTTGGACTTCACCATTGACTCAATTTTGGAGACAAAAACTACTTTTCTTATTATATACAAAATCTTCACATAAATCTTAATCTATAAATCTTAAACCATGAAGTTGTTCCAAGAAAGTTGGGACTGCGTATATTTCTCGTCCATATGTGCAAGTTTACGGTGCAAAATTACTGCATCAACCTTTGTTCCAATCACATCCATGAATTCTATCATCTTATTGATCAGGCAGAGTGCCTTCAATGTTGCCCTGAGTCGTAACCATTGCCCCCTGGCCATCTTTCACAGCACAAATCACCTGCGAAAGTAGTCACATATCTGACCTTGCAAGCTGACTCACCTTACTCAAATTCCTCTTCAAATTTAACACATATAATCTCACTAAGGTTGAAGACTGTTTCATTTAGCAACTTGATATCACAATTACCCTTTCTTACAATAACACAAGCCTTCATAACTCTCAAATATACATTTTCTGAATCACTCTGAGTGTAGTTTTTAAACATCTCTTTGTTGGGCACGCATGAAAAGAGGAATTTGAATCTACTATCTAAGATTCAATATTGCTAGAAATAAAAATAGTCACCTAGTATTTTGCATGTAGAGAAATTTGTCGAGATCCTATCTAGGCCTCCATCACAAATTTTCCTTGGATCTTTACAGTCTTTCTTGAAATTACTTTTCTTCCCATAGTTCTAACATTCTCCTCTAGCACTTCCTATTTCTGACCTGGACTTTTCTCTTTTGGACTTGAATCTGTCTCTGTTTATATTGCTATACAAGTTTCTTCCTCTACTCTCAACATTCAAAGTAGAATTTGAAGTTCACTGCTCGTATTCTAGAGAACTTCTTCATTTAGCACTAATTTCACGATGTCATCGAAGTTTAACTTCGTATTACATGAAGAGTTACCTCTACCTACAAAACACAACCAGTTCATCACAGTGTTGAAATTATTCAAGTGTTCAGCCACCAAACTACCTTCCACCATCTTCAAGTTGAATAATCTCTTCATTGTTTTACCATCTTCCACCATCTTCAAGTTGAAAAAATCCTTATTTGAAATTGAAGGATTCTCATACAACTTTGTCAGTGCCGCCATGAGATCCAACATTATTTTCTCATTCACTATGTTGGAAGAAACAGTCAGGGAAAGTGAAAGATGGATCAAACCTAGAGTTGTTTGATCAAGCAATTTTCATTCTTCCAGTGTCATCGATTCAGGCTTCTTTGTCATTCTTTTCAGTGCACATATAAGTTCTTTTGATACAACCAATCTTCAACTTGCATTCTGCAAAATGCAAAATCTGAACTATTGCACTTCTCCACCTTATACCTCGTTTCATTGGTCATTGCTCTCACAAAAAAAAAATTTTAAAAACCCTTTTGCTACACTTCTGATAAAAAAAATAGAATTTGATCGATTCACAACCAAACCACACTACAGAAAAATATTTTGATTCTAGAGATCCGAAACAAAAATGATCAGAAGTGCACATCACATAAAAGTCGGAAAAGCACAAATAGTTAACCTGGAAAAACCTGAAAAAAGGAAAAAATCATGGAGTCACAAGACAAAATTTGATTATGAAAATCAAGACAAATGTACAAACCACGCCACACTTAGATTTCCTCTCCACTCTCCTCGAAATTACAACAATTTAGACTCTCACTCCTTCTCTAGATTGCACAAGAGAAATCAGTTAAAATTCAAACATTGATTCTTCACGCAACTCGCACTTATTATGCACCATTGAGAGAAAACAACGCAAGTCAGTTTTCGAATGAAATGATGGCTTAAAATTGAATTAGAAGAGAACATAGTTGATGGCGTCAGACCGCCCGTCTCATGCACTGCCTTTCCATTTGTTCCTCTTAAAAGCACAATTCGGCCACTGTCGACCCTCCTGGGCAGATGAGTTCCAATTGCCTTTATTTCTGGACCTGAAATGAGCAAAAATTGATGAACATATGGGCCCTGACTAGGCACAGAACTTCTTTGCACTAGGCCTCTAGGCGCCCTTCCTGGCGAAGGGGCACCACTATGGGCGTGAGGGAGCCTCTAAAGGATGTTAGTATGCAGTTGTATAGCTTTGGTGTTGTTGTTGTTGTGTATCAAGCTCCACAACACCAAAACAAGCATAAACCTCATACATTTCCAATCACAGCTAATAGCGTGTGAAAGTGTTGACGTTTAATTCTCCTCATTGTAGATTATGTTGTTTAGTCTCAATCTCAAATAACTCTAAGGTAATACCAGAGTAAGTTTCACATGTAGCTTCTCATATCTCTCTGGCTGTCTTATAGAGAAAATTTTTTTCCAACTTTATGTAATCATGGAGTTTATTAATCATGACAATCATATGAATTGAGACTTTTTCAGGCCCGCTATCTAAAATCCGTCACTTATGGAGCCGAGATTTCACCAGTGAGAAAACCATCCTTCCCTCCACAGATGTACATAAATACAAACTGCGACCACTGAAGAAAATTATGGCCTTACAGTTTATGGTTTGTCACAAGACGAAATTAATTATCAGGTAAATAGGGACTTAGAATGTGGTCTTGGATATATAGGTGACTTCAGAAAAAAAGATTAAGGTCATACCATATTTAGTCATGATAAGAGTGTGAAGCCTGAATCGAGGACCTGCTACTTTATTACTACAGATGATCTTGTGCGTGATAAGCTCTACAAGAATTGCTCCCAAAAGCTCAAACAAGGGTACCAGAGCACCAATAGAAATGTTTTTTCTAATAAATAATGATGATAGAATGCTTCCTTCAAACCCATAAGGACCTTCTCGAAAGACAGCAAGAGTAGTAGGATTCAGCTGCGTGTGGAGTAGTGCAGAGAGAGGGCAAAAACATAAGGGAAGAGGGTTGTGGGGAGGACTTCCACCTATCCTTCATGGGAAAACACATGTGGGTACTCTAAGCAGTACAAAAATGCGCTTCTAAGCCTCTTATTTTTCCTTCCCCTATCCATGCAGCCGAACTTCAAGCAAGTTGAAGCAAAAACTATTGGCTACCTACAAACGGTGATGAGGAGGTGAAGCTGCATGATGAGCGAGATTCTGCTCGACGGTGCACTAGACAATACAGACAATAACGAGGAGGCCAATTAGATCAACGATCTACAACAGGAGATCGCCTGTGAGATGGCGACAAATCAGCAATGAAGCAACTGGTCATTCGAGCATGACAGACAACTTTTTGCTAAGATGTCCTTCCATAACTAGGAGAATTAAATGTATGTGTTGATAGAGATGGGGATGTGCCTGCAAAATCGGGCTTTGACAAGATCGTTGGAGATGATAGAGCTTATGAAGGTGAGGGAATGAAGCATTCGTCGCTTTAGCAAATCGGAGAGGATGTGAGATGGTGGCTCTGAGACCATGCACAAAAAAGGGAAAAAGGTTATTTACTCACCCTAATGAATTACACCTTATTACATATATATAATAGTGGTTGGTATATCAATCAGCAAAATAGGAAATTGGAATCATTTGAATAGGAATACCACCAAAATAAGAGTAGAAAAATAGGAAATACTTAAAAAAAGAAAAACTCAAATTCTAGGTAAAGGAAATAAATTTCTTCCTAATCGAACATACTCGACGGCAATTTCCTACACTCCATAAGATAAATATGGCATGCAATAGTTGAAATGTTCTCTAGAAATATTATCGCATACTCATAATATGCATTGAGAAAGAAATAATAAAAATTTGAAGCTACAGCTATAATCAAAGCTTCCACCATGTTGCCTCTTTGGCACTTACAATCTATATAAGCTAGTCCAGAGTTTCATTTAAATCAAACAAAATATGCTTTTCTACCAAGTAACTTTGTTTACTAATAGTAAATACAAAGGTTTTCAATCAAAATACCCTACCTAATTTAGGCTACTACATATAATTATTTAGGCTAATACATTGATCATAGTACATTCAAGCATAGATTTAAGGACTAGCAGAATCATACCTATCACTTCTGCGTCATAATGCAAATTGAAAGATGACAGAAGCATAAGTTGGAATGCAGTACCTTCGCTTTTTTATGACTACCAATCAGTAGAAGGTTGCCTTCAATTTGTACGCTAGTTATTATCACCTGCAAATTAAGTTTTAAGAATTATCAGCTTCTACAAAAATTAAAATAAAAGCACTTGTAAAACCATACAACATGTAGATAATGAGCAAGAACAAAAAATATTATCATTATCACTAGCCTTGTCCCAACAATTTTGGATTAGTTGTATGAATCTTCATTCTTCATTCATCCTAATAGGGTGTTGCACAAAGCATAAAACCTATTTTGTGCAGTTTCTTTTTTTTCATAATGTCTTTTAAATTTGGCCTATAGTTATCCTATATTATGTATGCTTAATCCACCTAAATTTATTTTCCACTATCATAATTTTATAAGATGCTGCCCTCATAATGCCTCCAATATAAACTTTCAATCTAATATTTATACATTAACACACATGAACCATTCATATTAACATGCTCGTTTCTACAAGTTTTTTACTTTTTTATCAATTATGTATTTACTATTTCAGTTGATATGTTATTGAGAAGTTTCTTGAAGAGTTCTTGAGAAGAAAGGTGTTAATAGGACTTATATTCGAGTCATTAAAGATATATATATATATATATTTTTTTAGAAAGCCCAAAATGGCTAATATATTAACGAGAAAGAAAGACATGAAATACAATGTGTGGGAGGGCCCAAGCATGGCACCCTGCCCACACAAAAACTACAAATGGTTCCAAAACTAGAAAATACAAAAAAGTACATTAGAGAAATAATGAAAATGCCTAAAAGTGCCGAAATACATAGTATCAAGTAATTAGAGAGCAACCCAATTTGGTCGTGTCTCTGCCTCTAGTTCTTGGGAAGGAGCAAGCTAATAAGTTGGTAAGATGATTGTCATTGTCAGTAGTAACCAATGTATCATCCAATATGTTCCCAAGTTGGAGTCGGCATCCATTTTTCTTCTTCCTCCTAGAGTAGACCTGTCATTCCTCATCTGAAGATTGGCTCACCTGATTTTGGTCTAAAGTGTGTTGGAGAAGTGCAGGTTGTTGAACATTAGAAGCAACTACATTTTGTACCGGTTGATCAGTTATTTGAGTAAAGGAGCACTCTCGTGTGTTTTGCCATGTAAGTGAGTTTTCTTCAATAACAGTAGGTGGTATTTCAATAACAGTAGGTTCAATAACAGTAGGTGGTATAATCACAACTGGGTCTGTAGCTGTAGTATGGTGTTCTTCATCAGGAACTGCTGTGTTGGAAAGAGGATCGGGTTGCATCTTCTTAACAGGGATGATAGGCGACTGATCGTTAGCGATATCCGGCCTTAGATGAGGATACAAACGATAGCAAATAGTAGAACTGTGGCCAAACATACTGCAATGAGAGCAATAAGGAGGGTGTTGTTCTATTTCAACATTTTACCAATACCCGTTGTGAGTGGTTTCAATCTATATCTCATCCGGAGCTGGTTGAGTGATATCTCTCTCAACTAACACACAAGCCAGAGGGTCTAGTGACAGCAAGCGTAGGACTATCAACCTTTAGAGGCTTACCGCAAGCAGTTGCTAAGGAGTAGAGAATTTTTAAATTGAACAAATGTAATTTTAACCCCAGAAACTTTATCCAAACTGGAATGATAGGCGACTCTGCTTTTGGATCAAAACCAACAATTTACTTCAGAATTTTCATATAACGGTTGTCAATCTTGATAACTTTTCAAGAAAAAATGCGAGTGTAATCGACATCATGACACAACTGAATCAGTTTGTGTCGACCTTCAAGTAAATCAATATTCTAACTGCCCAACAGCTTCTTAGCATCAAATTCTTTTCGAATGATCTCAAGTTTTGGGTGACCATAAAGAAAATTTTCCATTAGAGCAAAATGCCACGAAGATACTAGAGTATTGGTTTCAATCTCTGTGAGAATACGAGCAGACTTCTCATTTTTTTCTCAATTCTTTAAAGGTGTGATCGCCACCACCTTCAAGAGCCTTGTGAAATGATTGTGGAACTTTGCAAGGCTTGCCGATATGAAAACCAGACTCTAAACCTGAAAGAGGAACACAGGTAAGAATAGGAAAATCGTCGGCAACTGCAGTGGCATAGGAACGCATGGTTGAGGCCATTTGAAGAGATGCTAGGCGAGTTGCAAGGCGAGCTGCAAGGCGAGCAGACCTTCTGTCAGGCAGGGCAACAGAGGCGACGTCGATTTCTCTCAGGCAGGGTGAAGGCGTCGTCAAGTACAGAAGACGACGCGAACCACTATCGAGGAAACGTTGTAGAGTGCGGGTGAGGAGGGACGAAGCGTAGGAGCAAGCAAAACGACGGAACGACGAAACGCGAGACCTTCATCGTCGAAGTAGACAATCGCAGGGCTTGCGGAACAACGGGAACACGAAAAATATCGTGGAACCCTTCTACGTCGAGCACGGGGAAGGCGGTGGAGTAAAGCCGAGAGATTCAAAGGAGGGAATATATATATATATATATATATATATTAAAGTCAATGGTTGATTTTATTGAAATATAAAAGGATACATAAAGGTTGTATGAGAAGAGCCCAAAAAAACTCTACCCATACAATACAAGTACATAAAAACTCCAACAAAAGGTACAGATAGATTCAAATAAAATTAAAAACAAACTTAACACATGCAGAAAATAGTAGCTAGGGACGAGCCAGTTTAGTCTTGTTTCTTCCTCTAGTTTTAAGAGCGGAACTAAATAACAAACTTTGAAGAGTCGTGTTATCGTCAGGAGTCACCAAAGTATCATTCATTAAGTTTTCAAGTTGGAGTGAGCCCCCAGGCTTCTTCTTCCGCCGAGAAGTGTAAATCTGGCATTCTTCATCTAAAGACTGGCTCATATGATCCTCGATCTGATTTAATGTTAAAACTGCAGTAGGAGAAAAGAGAGTCGTTGCCACCGCGATAGGTTTCAATGTATGTGAAGTGTGATTTGTTACCTCTGCACTTGATGCTTCCTGAATAGGAGATGCAGGACTATCCTGATTTTCAGTTCGAATATTATCCATTGTAGTATGGTCAAGAGAAAGGATCTTAGGGGCAGACACCAACTCCTGTCTTGTGGTGTTTCCCTCCTAAGGTTAGTTGTCATCAGGTTTGCTAAAAGTGCGTTCCGGCACATGGGGTGCGCTAACAGCATGTTCCTACTTTTGACTACTGGTTCTCAACTGTGGGTGCAATTTGAAACATTTCTCCTGCGGGTGTCCAAACATCTTGCAGTGCTTACAGTAGTATGGTTTTTGTTTCATAATGATTTTTTGTCAATAACTATTGTGAGCAGATCGAAGTCATACTTCTTCTACATCTGGTAGTGTAATATCTCGTTCAATCAAAATCCTTACAATAGAGGGTCTTGAGAAATGAACTGTAGGTAAATCTACCTGCAAAGATTTTCCAAGGATAGTCTCAATTGCATATAAGATAGGTAGATCAAAGAAATGAAGCTTGAGATCAGATAATGAGAACCAGATAGGTGCAATTGGGGGTTCTTGATTGGGATCCAAATTGGGAGTCCATTTGAGCAATTTCATATGTTTGCCCTCAATTATGATGAATTTTTTTGAGAAAATCCTCGCGTAATCATTTTCTGTGCTCAGTTGTATCATAACTTGTCTTCCGTCAAAAATCTTCCTGATGATCTCCCTCTTATGGCAACCTAATTAGAACTTTCCAACCAGTGTAAATTTGTATTTTGCAGTATGAGTTGAAATTTCAGCATCATAGTTGAAATTTCAGCGTCAAAGAGAAAATTACTGGTTTACCCGCCTTTTTCTCTACTTTTTCGATGAGATTGCAATCACCATTTCCTGCAACAGAATCACGAAAAACCTGCACAAATACCGCACTATCTGCGAGGTGAAAAGGAGAGCTGCGTTTGTGAACCACTGTAGCATAGGAGGGTTTGGCGAGGTTATCACCGGCGAGGGTTGCGGCGTAGGAAAGCCTTAAGGCCATTACCGCAGCCAGTGCCAAACGGCTCTGTCACGCCTATGCCAGAGTCGAGCAAAAGAAGCTCTGTCTGTCGCAGACGAAGAAGTTTTGTCTTTCGCAGTCGAGACGCAATATACGATACGCAGTAGACGAGCGGCTCTGTCTGTTGCAAGTTGTTGAGTGGCTCGACGGCTCTGTAGCAGACGAGACGCGGCGGGAGAGGCTGTCACAGGAGAGGTAGCTCGACAGCTCTGTCGCAGATGAAGAAGCTGTCGAGCGGCTGTCGCAGACGAGACACGGGAGTCTACCAAGATGGGGGAATCGACCGCAAGTACTGTCGCCAGACGAAATGCGAACGCAAACGCGAATGGAAGCAGACGCCAAAGCCCAAAGACGCTAGGGTTCGTCATGCGGCGGAACCCTAACAGAGCGGAAAGACGCCACCTAAGCCCCATCATTTCTGTTGATACTAGAGGTGTTAATAGGACAATTGACCAAGTATTTTCCTATTTCTGTTGGATTACATCAGGGATCGGCTTTAAGCCCATATCTTTTTGCTTTATTTATGGATGCTCTTACTGGACATTTATAGAAGGATGTACCTTGGTGTATGCTTTTCGCAAATGATATCCTTCTTGTTGATAAAACTAGAGAAAGAGTTCAAGAAAAACTTGAATTATGGAGGTCAACATTGGAGTCTAAAGGCCTTCGTTTGAGTAGTAGTAGCTCTAGTGGCAGAATTGTAACTATAGGTGATCAAAATATTAAAAAGTGTGAATGTTTTTTATATCTCAGGACTATTGTTCAAAGTGATGGTAATATAGATGAGGATGTTATTAGCAAAATTCAAGTTGGTTGGTTTCGATGGAAAAATGCAACAGGCTTATTGTGTAATAAAAAAGTACCGCTTAGACTGAAAGAAAAACTTCATAAAATGTGGTGAGACCTACAATGCTCTATGGCACAGAATGTTGGCCTTTAAAAAAAAGCATAGAACAAAATGTTGCTGAGACGAGAATGGTTAGGCAGATGAGTGGCTTGACACCTAGAGACAAAATGAGAAATGAATATATTCGTGATTGGGTTGGTGTAGCTCCAGTGGCGGACAAAATTA